CCTGCCCCGACCACCCACCTTAGTCATGATGAGGATGGTCACATAGTGCACCAGGGCCCCGGTCACCACCACGGCCGTGGTCACCTGCTCCTCCAGGAAGGGCAAGGCCGAGTTGCTGAAGAGAGCGGCAGCCAGGACACGGTAGACCACCAGGACGTGGGCCATGCCGATCATGAGGCAGATCTGCAGGGGTGGCCAGGAGGGTGGGCTCAGAGGCAGTCCTCAGCCAGGGTGCCAGCCCACCACGGGCTCCCCAGAGTACCATGAACAGGGACAGGGCGAGGATGATGGTGCTTCTCATGTAGGAGTGCTGGTGCTGCTGGAGCTTGTAGTCGGGGCAGTTAATGAGCTCAAGCGCCACTTCCTCCTGGGGAGGGTACCGGACACGCCTCAGACACAGGACACACATATCAGACATGGGACGCACTTGTCAGACACGGGGACCCACGCCGCAGACCCGGGAGGCACAATTCCCACACGAGGATGCGCGCCTCAGCAGCACAGAACGGGGTGGGCCACAGGGCGCTGGGAGGAGACGGCCGGCCTGGGCCACCTGGCCCGGCTCACCTGGTCTTCATCCCACCCGTACAGGTCCCAGTGCAGCACCACGCGGGCTCGCTGCCTCTTCCAGAACTCCAGGAACACCGTGGCTGCAGCGGGAGCAAGGAGGGTGTCACAGGTGTCCCTGGGGAGGTGGCCCAAGGCGATGGGGGCAGGAGGGGTCCTGGAGCCCAGGCTGGCCCCCCGCCCAGGTGCCTGCAGTGACTCACCCCACAGAGCCATGAAGATGGCAAATATCACAGTGCCCTCGTTGTCAAAGAGGTGGGTGAGCTGGGGAGAGGGACACGCGGGCTGCGGCTGGCCATCCCCGCCACCCTGTCACCCCCGGGGGAAGGGCACCCAGCTCTGTGGGGGGGGGGACAAGCCAGGGCGGGCCCTCTGCAGGGCGACCTAGGCCTGGAGTGCACCCCAGGGTGACAAACCTTGGCAAAGGTGCAGGTGTCCGAGAGGCGCTGGTACCTGCGGCCGTGGTCGCCGCGTGGGCACATGAAGACGTCGTGGGCCTCACAGATCTCCTTGCTGCAGGTGCAGGGGCCCAGGGGTAGGCTCTCCCGACGCCCCGCCCCTCCCG